GGCTGAGGGTGGACAATCCCTTGGGAATGTGGTCCACTGCAGTTCGGCCTTCCTGTTGGATTTTCAACTGAGACGAAATGTCATGAATGTCTGCAGACATAAGGTTTTTCAAAAATTGCTCGTCTACATTCTTGGCCAACTGGGCTTCTGCACCAGCTAAAGTCACTTTGGGAACGGCTGGAACAGGTGCTACCGGCGACAAATTAAATGAAGAGGGGTTTGTCTGCTGCTCAGTAGAGGCTGGACCCCGGTTGGTAGCAGGGGTCTTCTGTCGCTCGGTTGAGGCCCGAGCCTTGATTGTCGCGGGAGGCCTCAGAGGATGAGCTGGCTTCCGATGATCATTTGGTCGACCTCCTTGTTGAGCAGGCCGAGGGCGGCTCTCTGGTACAGAAAAAGGAGCAGAAAAAGGAGCCTGCATCTGTGGGGCTGCTGGAGGTCCATAAAAAGATGCATGATGAAACGGTGGGTGAAACCAGCCAGGGGGTGGCGGGGGCGGCTGTTGGTATGGCCTCGGCCATGTGTGCCAACTTGGCACAGGCTGTGGAGGGGGTGTAACTTGAGCAGGCTGTGATGGAGGCTCCCATTGTCCCGGAGCATTGCTAGTAAGCCTTGCTTTGTTTCCCGCGCTTCGGCTAGGAGTTCGGCTTCGCTGGCTTCGCCTGCTTTGCCGGGAGGGGGATCTTGCTTGAATCCTTATCGGGGCACCAGTCGGCCTCGGTCTTGGGGGTGGCACAGTTTGCGCAGCTGCTGGCAGTGCTAGCTGTGTTGGTGCCGCTGTTGATGCCGGTGCTGGGACCAGCTGGGTCGGAGTCGAAGCTCCTCCTTTCCCATCTCCACAGAAAAACTGAAACACGTAGGATGACATGGCTCAGGAGCTTACGTTTGCCCGAGACACTCAGATCAAAAAGGCTTCACTTGCAAACATGCATGTTGCTGAAGAAGCACCACAATGATAAGCACAAACACATGCTAAATGCTTTTGTTCGCAGATCAGACAGTGTGCAAAGTATGTACAGGCACCTATCTTCTGCTGGGACACTGACTCAAAAGCAGAAAGTGACACCCACAGCGGTAGCTTGCTCTTACGAGCATCTCAGCACATGCTCTGCCAAGGGGCAAAGGGCGATGAAATTGCATGGGGTCCCCCAAATTGGGTGAAACTGTACAAGACCCTTCTAAAAGTTCACTGGATGAAATGGGGCTTGGATCAGCTTGAAGAGAGGAGTGTGATGACTTCTTCTTCCTTTTGGAAGATTTTGTGCTTCTGGATGTCCTTCTTGTGTTTGGATTTTCCAACATCTTTGGACTTGGCGTGTTTGCGAGATTTGCTTTTGAGGGCACCAACTGTAGTAGACGAAGACTTCGGCTTGTCTGGAGTTGGCTCAAAAGCTGAATGCCATGAACTTGTTTCTTCAGAGCACACCGAAGACGGCTTGAAATGGTCCATGGCTGGGAGCGAGGTTGAGCACAAACTTCTCGCTTGTAGAAGACAAATAACATCGAAAAGCAGGAAACGAAAGCTGCTGCTGCACGAAGGCTCTTTTTGTAGAGACAACTCGACATCACTGTACCGGGCTCCTGACGATCAGGAGACGAAGGTCTGGTATTAGGTCTGCATGAAACCTGAACCGATCTGTAACTGGTTCATGGACCCAAAAACTGACAATGTTGCGTGTTTGCGAGCACATCCATAGGCGTCGATAATCCAACATGTTGTGGAATTGCACCACAGCGGAAACCGAACGATTGCATTCTTTACAGACACTGGCATAGACTGTCAGATGTGGCATGGCAGGTGACCCGTAGGACACCGGCACAAAGATTTTGGGGTGCTGTACAAACATCGTGTAAACACAGTACTTAAAACTCCTGGCTCGCGACGACATCTGTCGAAAGGTAACTCGAGCTCTTTGAGACTATGGTGGCCAAGCCTGTCAACTTCTCGATCAAATTGACGTTGCCCCTCTACTGCTTGTTGTAGCATTGGAGGGTCCTGTTGCTCACCTTCATGTCGCAGTTCGGGACATGGAAGATAGAAGTGTATCAAGTGATGGCGAAACACAACGAAGTTGAAGATACGGTCGTAGGCGACAGACACATCAGACACATCGACCATGGCTCCACCCGGCGAAGTGTCAACAATGCTATATCGCTGCTAGAACCACTGCTGGCACCGGAGTTCAAAGATCAAACAAAAGTGAGCTCTACTTCCGAGCTTGCACGAATGTATGCATTGTTTATCAAGGCAATACACTGTCAGGGAATCCTCGAGCTATGTACAGGTTGCGAAGTGCTTGCACTTGTTGGGACCTCTGGTTCCGAGGCCAGGAATACTGTACAATCAAGGCTTTCCGAGAAAGAAATCCTGAAATCCTGGCCGACCAACTACCCGCTGAAAGAGGACTTTCGGATGGACCAAGCCTGTTCAGGCTGAATGTAAGTCACAGTCCTGTTAGCGGCATTAAGTCGAAACCCCAAAAATTGATGATTGGTCACTTCCTCAAGCTGGATCGTCCCCCCATAAAAGGAGAGGTTTTGAAAGTCTGTTAAACATCGATGAGAAAGAACTGTTTCATCACACAAGATCAGCCGATTATCGACATACCTGCAAATGAACAGGTCAGATGTTGCAGTGTCGAAAAACCGTGCTGAATGCAAAAACTGTGCCCATTCCCTCTGCCAGCTAGATTCGCGCTGGATGACGGGTAAGCTGCTGAGCACTGGAGAAATTTGATTTCCTATGCATGTGCCTCTGTGCTGCCTGAAGAGCAGCCCGAGTGTGGTGAACACACCCGCTTCAAAAGAAACTTTGACAATGGCTGTAAGATCAGAGACATGCAGAAACCGAATGTGCTTGGCACCTCTGGCCGGTGGCTTTCCAGGCCAAGCTGACTCGCAGTTGGGTCGCTTTTGAAGACAGATTGAAATGTGTTGTGGATATTCTCTGTGCTGATAGAGTTCTATCAGAGCTGACAGAGAGTCCAGGATCTCCTGCCTGGGTACCGAATTGAAAAAACCCACCAGATCGTCGTTCAGCTCTGCTAGGTGGATGGTGGGATAAACACGATGCAAAAAGCTATGCATGTTCTTCCACAGCTGGGGTGTTGTTGCTAGCCCCATGGCTTCTGGCCACACTAGTCGAATCATAAGAAGAATGGCGTGTGAAGCTGCTTTGAGCAGCTCTTTGATGCAGCTGTTGGAGTACGATATGATCGTCCTCCCTTTCAAAAATTCTTTCTTCCGCTTCAAAAAGATAAATCCGACAGGAAGAGTACCAGAGGGGTTTATGCCCCACCTGTATCTCTTCTTCAGCAAGCCTGGAATGCGATCCAGGACCCAGGTGGATAGTTGCTCAGGTGAGCCTTCCACAGGTTCAAAGACAGCTGGATCCCGCCAAGTTCGCAGAGCAGCTTGAAAGTAAAACTGAGGGCAGTAAATCATAAGGTGATTAGGCTCGTGGTCCTCGAAGTGTACCACGAAATGTCGATGAAGCAAACTTCGTGCAGCAGATACATCTTTGCATGTGAGCTGTGCTTCCTGGCTCAAATGCTGAATATGCTTCTCCCATTGAGTTTGGAGAAGGGAGTGAAATTCATGCTCTAAGTTTTGAGGAAAACAGTGCTTTCTCCTCCAAGAAGAAAACATCTTGAGATTGTGCTTGAAAAATTCGTGCTTCGCCGGAAAGAAGGCAGAGGCAGCACTTCCGGAACCTATCTTCTCAAAAGAATGATGCAGGCAGCCTAGCTGTTCAATGCCTGCAACAACATGACCATGGGTCATGCATGACTCCGGCAACTGTGCAGCAAACTCGCTGCAGGGGCACTGCACATCGTCAATAGAGTCATGTTGCAGCCAGGCATCCCAATCCTTCAATTTATGAAGAAAGCCCTTTAAGGTCTGATGTGGTCCTTCTCTGATCTTGAAAAGAGGAAGATGAAACGGGACCAGTATGTGTTTGTGTCTGAGGACCTGCTTTCTGATCCATGCCGACACTTCCGAACAAAAGCTGGGATGGGAAGTAAATCGAAGCTGAAGTCCCAAGGCTGACTTGGGCCAAGACATGTTTCTGCACAAACAAACAGATTTGAGGATCTTGCGAGCTTTGCTCTTGCCCGGCTCCTCCAAGCAATTGCTCAACCTAACGAGCGAGTAAATTTCATCTGGTACATACCGGCCACTTCGCAGTCTTTTGGCCTCTTCTAAGGGGGCTCGACTGAAGCATGTAAGATTGAATAGAATCTCCCATGCTGACCGACGTTTTAGCTGAAAAAGTTCTGGCTGTAGTTGGGTGTGAAGCTTCTTTCTTAGCTTCCTCCACAACCGTAGCCCAAACTTCGACGATACTGTGTTCCGTATGCGCTTGTTGGGACGAAATCCCAGTGCACTTCGTTTCAAAAAAGACACTATATAGGGGTGGTTGAGCTTTGGCTGCCACATCCCTATCAAACAATGTTCTGTGATCCATGCTTCTCGGTACGATGAGCACGGAGTCAGAAGAAACTAGGTATAATCCTGCAAGCAATCATTTGAAACCCAGTACCGGATGGCTAGCTCTGCTTGAGCCTCTCGTCCGGAAGACAACTTCCTGGCCACTGAGAGTCTATTGGACTCTCTTCGGAAAACTGACTGGCTGGTGGATCCAATGCGCATGAAGGTGGAAGGCTGCCGATATTGTTCAACACTTGAAAAATGGCGCCAATCCGCAGCAACTTTCATGTAAACAGCATTTTGGGCTTGAAACCTCGGCCACGTATAGTCATCGGGTGGACCTGAAAACACCGAAGTTTGGTACGGATCACTTCAGCATAAGATGTAAACGATCCATCTTGGAAGTAAAGCAAGGGAAGAAGGTGCAACAGGCCTTGGGCCCACAACATGGATTGTTTGTTGAAGCCCGGACACTCGTGTAAAAAGAAGGTAACTGCTTGTCCCAGCAGACATATGTCTGCTTTGAGGGAGCTCCTTGCCGATGAGGCCACATGTGCACATTGCATCGCTAGTCAAGCTGCCTCGAACTGTGCCACTGCTATGGTGGCTGAAAGGTTCTTCAAAGAGAGGCGAGATGCCAATTTGGCATCCAGACCGAATCGAACTGCTGCCGAAACTATTTCGTCTTTGGCAGTGCCAGTCTTGAGCAAATCTTGAACGGTTTTCACGTATTTGACCAACTTTGGATGTTTGCCTTTAAATTCAGGCTTGGTCTTAAATGTATTGAGCCATTCAGTGACATGGTCATCTGTGGCTCCCTTGGGGCGAGAATCCAGCTTCCTCTTGGGCTCATCCAAGAGTTTCTCGACATCAGAAAGGGGTTTTGGCTCAACATCTGCAACAGGCATGGGAGGCTTAGCTCGCTTGCCCTGCTGCTCTGAGGAACTGGGTGCAGATTCGGACTTACGTTTTAAGGGAGAAATTTCAATGCCATGCTCAGCCAACTTGGCTTTGGCTTTGGCAAGTTCTTCCGAAGCATCCGAATTTTGCACCGGCACTTTGGCTACAATGCAATCCATCAAGTCTTGAGCAAGAGGTTCCATGAACCTCATTGCTTCTTTATGTTTGTCTGGTGATGCCTCTTTGTGGCAGGCTTTGGCAGCTTCGTCAATGGAAATTCCGCTCTCTCTGATCTTTTTGAGCAGAGCGGTGAGAAGGACCGATTCTGATCCACTTCTCGCCCAGACTATACTCTGGTGGCGACCCTGTGAAAGCAAGCGAAACGAAAAATTTCCTAAGCCACGGTGCGAAAGTTCATAGGCACGGATGTCAGTAACATCACGGCCTGCCAGGCCCGATTTGCGGGACCACTCAGTTGGTTGCACCTGTTTGTGCAAGACATGAGCACCTTTCCCAAGAGGGGTTTTGTCATGGTGCTGGTGATCCGAAACAAAAGAAGTGGGCAACGGAGGTGTGGGCAGCGAAGGTGTAGAAGCTGCTGAGGAGTTCCAATCCGAACTTTGCCACCAACTGTTGCTTGCATCCCATTTGTCTTTCGACCAAGTGTTCTTGGACTCATCACCGTCTTTTTGCCACCACGACGACATGGCTGAGACGGTTAGGTGTGTCTTGGGTTCGAACTGTCAAAAGCTGTGGAAATGCATCCAGAGGAGAATGACTCAGGTTGAAACTTGACGATTCTGTAGAAAGCGGCAAACGTTCCCGTCGGTAACTAAGCACTCAAGCTTGTCGCGAAAACATGATTACTCCGAAGAGTATTTGCTGAATCGAGACTTTGAAGTCCGGTTTATAGAGCCGATCAGGGCTCGG